ATCGTCCCCATTGGTGGCACTGCTGGCCACATTGCTCTGCAGCTGAATGCTGCGCATGAAGAGATTACCCACGCACTGGGGTAGGCTGTGCTTGCGCTCCATGTCCGTGGCCGCGTTCCGCCACTGCTCATCAGTCTTTGGTAGTGTCACGTATTGGTCCTTGAGGTGCTCATAGAAGCCCAGACAGATATTGGCAATCATTTCGTTTATCACAAATTTCGAGGCACGGAAGCAGTAGTTTCGACAAGAATGCACTTCACCTGTTTGGGCAGCGGGAAAAGGTAAGACCATTAATGAAGATTTATTGCCTAAGGGGCTGTAGCTGTAGCTGGAGCTGGAGCTGGAGCTTACCCGTTGCCAAATACTTGAGCGTTATGGCCAGACGCTCCTCGGCGCTGAACGATTTCTTTTTACGCTGTGGCGCATACTGACTGATGATCGGCTCCAGCTTTTGCACCAGGTATCGGAACTGGCTCTCGGTTATGGCGAGGAAGTAATTCAAGTGGTAGCACTCATCCTTGCGCGACTGCAGCTCGTTCAGCAGATTCTCCTTGCTGAGGAACTCGGCCTGGTTCTTGCGCAGCCACTCCTTGGTCCACTCCAGGCGTCGCCGCGTGTTCAATATGCCGGCCAGGTCGAGGGCGCTGATTTTCGATGTCTGGGGTCGCGACAGCACCGAGGTGCGTGCCGCCCCACCCACTCCGGTGGTGCCGGGGGCCAGTGCATTGCCGTTCGCATGTGCATCGGTGCGCTCTGGTCCAGGGGCGTTTCCTTCGTTGCCATTGCCATTGTCCTGCGTGACCCCAATTGCAGCGGCCACGCCCACGCCCACCTGATGACTGCCAACGCCGCTGCCGCCATTGGCGTTGCCATTGGAGATGCCAATGCTGACACCGCCTCCACCGCCGCCGCCACTTCGATTGACATTCGTGCCTCCGTCGCGTTCGCGCAGCACGCCAATAACCTTTAATTTGATTTTGTCCATCGAACAGCAGTCGCGGATGCCTGGAATCAGAAAATGAATCGTTTTAAGCTGCATTCGAAAGTTCCTGTTGGGGCTGGGCTGCCCATCCGTAGATTTTGAGCCATCTGACGACCGCCTGCTCGCCCAGGTCGACCCAGAAGCTGTCACTGTCGCCATTGCCTGCCCCACCTCACCTCACCACACCACACTCACCCACTCGCACCCCGAATGCAGAGTGTGGTCGTGGTCGTTGTCGTTGTCGTTGTCGCTGTCGTGTGTGTTTGTGTGGCGTTTTGTGCAACAAATCGATTTTTACTCACCCTCACTCTCCGCTGCGCCGAACTGCCTTTCGCTGCTGCTGCTGCTGCTGCTCCCGTTCCTTCGTCGTCCGTCGTCGTCGTCGTCGTCGTCGTTGCTGCTGTTGTGTGTATAACCAGTTTCGTTCTTCGGGGGGGGGGACACACACTACGGCTGTTGTATAATTAGAACTGTTTTGCGGCAATATATCTGCCCCAACTGCAATCTTAGCTCTGTTTGTCGAATTTGCACGTAGATTTTACTTCTGCATCGGTCATCTGCCTCGAATTTCTTGCTTCCACACTGCCTCTGCTGACAGTGCCTATGCCTCTGTGTCTGTCTCTGTCGCTGTGTTTGCTTCTTGGTGCGATTGATACTCGTACCAATACGAAATGCGTTGGCAATTTCAGCTATTTCATATCGGGGTCTGTGCGTTTCAACGAATTTTCATTCGATTTTCCACTACCCTGCTCACCTCCTAGCACCTACTTGCCCGAAAACCACATTTTTTACCAATTTTTTCACGGTGATGTTGCTTTTTCCCCAATACGTAGCAGCCCCACCAGCTGGAACGACCAGTGCGACCGCGAATTTAGCGGTACAAAATACCGCCTCATAAAGAAACCGAAATATACCTATCTTATTTTCAAAATATACCGGAACCCTACGTCTTAAATCATTTTCCTTGATTTTGATCTTCTCTTTAATATTGCCCTCTGCACCCGTAACTATAAATCAATGCTCTATTATTATTGCCACTCATAAAATATCAAAAATTTTAGAAGAGGAGAAAACGAACTGAAACCCATCTAGGATATGTACCTAAATTGTTTTTGTTTCTGCACGTTTGAATTGAATCCATACCTCCGTTTCATGGCGGCGAGCTGTTGTCAAACATCAGTAATACTCGATATGCTTGTTTACTATCGATAGTTTCATTGTGCATTTTTCAACACTAATTACCACAGCAACACAATGTTTGCTAATTTAACAATTTTATTGAAAACAGTTAAGATAGTATAATTTACGTATTTAAAACGTACGTTAACCGATAAACAGTCATGGCGGAAGCCGTAGCATGCCAATTGCAGTACGAGAACAAGGAGGTAGGTACCAAACAGACTGCATGTAAGATTCCCAGCGCTCCATGCTGTCTACACCACATTTTCTGTGATCTTTTTTGCAAATTTCGTAAATGTTTTATGTTTTTAGAACTCTATTCTCTTGCTGCATGCCGGCGTGCGACTAATAGGTCTGCTACGTAGTGGGGAAGTTGGATGGCACGCAAATGAGTGACCACGCGGAATGACACAAGCGTCCGATGAACTGTGCGGTAGCCTATTAGGCCTCGGTATCAGACGATCGATTCGTGTTCCTGGTCCATCCTGGATAGATCTCACAGATGACAAGGATGCCATAAATACTCTGACTTTGACAAGTCAAGCAGCAGAAACTGATCCTCAGGCCCATTGCCAGCGGATAAGGATGCGTCAACTGTAGGAGCTCGATGAGCTGGCCTTGACCTATGTGCCTGTGCCTGCCATAGATCTGGCCCAGATGGTAACTCAGAGCACGAACAAGGAATCATATTTACAATAATTGCCGCACTATAGTTTCGATATTGTAAGGTAAGGTGTATGTTGATTTTACCAGAAATTTTCTTTTTACATGCTCCTGTTTGGTGTTTTTCAGAAAATCTAAACCCTTTTCGGCATCATGGAGCTGGAGGATGAGGATCGTACGCGTCTCTAGCAGGTCTCCAGACAGATCGCCGATGGGGCCCGATTCGCCAACTATGTGGTCAATCTGGAGAGTGAATGCTCTTCAATGCAACCTTCTTCCATCCGAAGATCGAGAGCATGATCCACTCCTCTTTTGGATGCAATCAGGACTACGAGTTCTCCATCGAAGTGGCCGATTTCCAATCTGAGACAGAGACCACATCGCTTTAGGTTAAGCCTTGGTTAAGCAGGCTAGGATTATCTAATAAAACTACAAATTTTGTAAACATGGAATTACCAAAGTTTTGTAAAACAATAAAAAGCCTATTGCAGAACAGCGTGAAACATCCATATCCCGCAGTCCTTGAGGTCCTTGATGGACACAGGACACAGCCAAACTATGGCGTTATAGGGATTACATTTAAAAACATCCTTAAAATGTCGTTATCCTTAAAGTCCTTATATCCGAAAGGATTAAAAACGATCAGAACATTCCAGGGCCTGATCACGAGGAGGTGTGGCATGTCCTGATCGGCTCCCAAATTAAGGAGAAAACAATAAAACAAAAATGTCCTGTTGTTGTTGTCAATTTATGTTGTTGTTGTTGTTGTACTACAAAAGAGGTTTTTGTAATTGTTGTACAACAAGACAATGTTTGTTGTACAACAAACAACTTTTAAAATTGCGTCGCTCAAATGGCAATTTTCGGGCCGAGTACTAGGCGAACATAAATCAGCAGAAGGTAGCTGGTTCTTTTGTTTTTTCATTGTGTCAAGAGCTGGATGCTATGAAACTAGGCGGGTTTTTCAAATCTTAAATCACTAAAGGTATGCACCAAATCGTAGTTCCATATGCCATTTTTGTTTTATTGTATCCTCCTTAATTTGGGGGCCGATCAGGACATGCCCCACACCTCCTCGTGATCAGGCGAATGTCCTTTATCGTTTTCAGTCCATTCGGATGTAAGGACTTTAAGGATAATGGCATTTTAAGGATGTTTTTAAATGTAATCCCTATAACGCCATAGTTTGGCTGTGTCCTGTCGGATCAGGACATGAGACACCTCTTTCTGAGCGGAAGTGCCTCCTGTATCGTTTGAACTCATCAAGGACCCCAAGGACTGCAGGATATGGCTGTGTTACGCTATTCTATAATAGGGATCCGTTCAGCTTGAAAGTATGCAACACTTTGGCGAATCAAACCAGCCCCCAAAAGATACTTCAAATATTGGAAAACAATATCGTAGCATCCTGAAGCATGCCACACTTTTTATTGTTACACAAAACTTGCGTCATTCCATGTTTACAAAATTTGTTGATATTTGTGTTATGCTAATCTAAATCTGATTAACCTAAACTTAACCTACTCCGACATGGTATCAAATCAGATTGGAAATCGGCCACTTCGATGTAGAACTTGTAGTCCTGATTGCATCCCAAAGAGGAGTGGATCATGCTTGCCTTTCTCGATCTTCGGATGGAAGAAGGTTGCATTGAAGAGCATTCACTCTCCAGATTGACCACATAGTTGGCAAATCGGGCCCCATCGGCGATCTGTCTGGAGACCTGCTACAGACGCGTATGATCCTCATCCTCCAGCTCCATGATGCCGAAAAGGGTTTAGATTTTCTGAAAAACACCAAACAGGAACATGTAAAAAGAAAATTTCTGCCATAATCAATATTCATCTTACGTTCGCAGCGCATCGCTTGAGAATATCGTCACTAAAGTACGGCAATTGGTGCAAAAATGATTGCTTGCTCACGCCCTGAGTTACCATTTGGGCCAGATCTATGGAAGGCACAGAAGACAAAAGCCCCAATTCGAACATTAAACATGCACAAAGGCCTACGACAGACGAGTGGACAAGCTCAACATCTGCTTTTCTTCTCAGACTTTTCGAACTGCACATTTCTCGTCATTGTTGGTAGTGGCTGTCAGTGTGTATATGGCATTCTTGCCCTGTGTGATATCTAGCCAGGGTGGTTGGCAAGTGGTGGGCATAACAAAGTCCTTTGATTTTACTTCAATGCTCTCTTGTATATATTTTATTTTAAATTAAATTTAAATCATCATATCAAATCAGCTCAATAGTTCCTCAGTTCCTGACACGTCGCATACCAGCAAGTTCAGCTATATCTGCACAGTTCATGCGACGATTAGATCCTATAAAGAGAAATATTTTCGATTAAGATAAGTAATTTCAGAAGCTATCCCAGTTCGACTTACCGATACAGTTTAATCTGGTCAGTTCGCATCGGGTAACATTGCGCCAAACCCAGGTACTACGAGTCTTCTGCCTGCACTCCCTATTCAACAGGGGCAGGCCACGATCCGACGAATTATTCAATCTCCTCGAGCAACTATCGCAAGCGCGTTGCAGTGCCTCGCAGTCCTCCCTCTGGCCAGATATCAAAGTCAGGCAGAGGACTAAACAAAAGAAAGAGTAGTTGTGTAAAGTATAAAATAATGCCAAAACTGATTGCACTTACCAACAAATAAAGACAAAACTACGTGGATATTCATTCTCTCCGTTTACTTTTTGCTGCTGAGAACTAATCGTTCTGATAACTAATGAAGACACAGCCGTGGCAGACCCTTTATATACACTTGCATATTCCCCTTGAAACAATGCATACAAAATATGAAGTACAAGTGCAACGGGCACAAAAACTCCAAAACCTTTCAAAAGAAATGTTTGACAATGCGAATTAATTATTGTCTTTTAGCTATTTGAATGCACATGCGCCGATGTAGAGTGCTTCCGGAAACTCGTTATAATGAAATCTTTTCTATACAGAGAAAACAGCTGTTTCCCAAAGTATTTCCAGACCGTTATAAAAGCCCAAGTATCAGCACTGTTCCAGCAGAGACTTGATCTTGTGATTTAAGTAACAACACCAAGATGTGGAAAATTTCTTTGCTTTTGGGTGAGAATCTAGGAGTTGAGTACACAGAGAAGTTTCTAACATATTCAAGTCCTAGCTATTGGTTGCATTTGCGTGGCTAGCCAGGAGACGACGGTCTCCCCGCGCAACCGTGACATTTGCCGACGCCAGAACACCAGATGTGTACGCAATCAGGAGCGACTGGGAACTACCAACGATGTCACCACTGCCTTTAACAACCAGTGCCGAAGGAGTAACCGTTCTTGGAGCGAAGTCACCCGCTGCCAGTTGGCTGACGCGACCTGCCAATGTAAGAACTCGAATTATATGATTGTATAATGTATCTAAATTAAATATTTGTATGTATTTCCAGTGACTTTGGAGCGCTGTAGGACACTCTCCTGTAACAATGTGCGAAGAGCTCTTCAGTCTGGTCCAACGAATCCTACTCCTCGTACTCGCACCACACGCCGCCCGACGCGCACTCCCCGACCCACCCGTTCTTCTCGCCCCACGCGCACTCCTCGCACTCGTCGTCCTACCCGCACCACACGCAGACCTCCCACAGAGCCCGTCGAATAAAATACATGGTTTTGGAAACACAGGAAAACTCTCCACATGAATATCAATAAAAAACACTTCAATGCTCTCTAATATTTTGAGATTTTCTTGTCATTTAAGCAACATAGCCAAAAAATGCTGTTGGAAATGAAAATTGTTTGCCTGAAAGATTTTACATTCTTAAACACATATGTACTCACTCTTATTTGTGTATGTACGTGCACGAGCAGTTATTTGCACAAGTATTGCAGTGGGGGGTGAAGCAATACTGAAAAGTCCGAGCTTACAAGCTAAGGCCGCAAGCCGTTTTGATCGTAAGAGCGAGCGAGAGCCCACTCTAAGAGCGCTGTCGGAGAGCACTAACAGTACAGTAGACGGGTGCGCTACAGACTGTTAACCTGGGTGTTAACAGTGCTGCCGACTGCACAACTGAACAAATACCAATATGAATAGATTCATTTCGGTTAGTATAAAACTTCTTGTGTATTGTTCGATTTTTCTTACAAGATAAGCTATAAATAATATCTGCTTACTCAAGCTTGGTCACTATTTTTCGATGATAACTTAAATGCAAATTAATTCATTAATTATAAGCAGAATTTTCTCCATGAAAATGTTTTTTCATTTTCTTGGTTTGTGTTGCATGGCATACATCATTTTGGGATAAGCAATTTTCTACAAAAAAATATTAACATTCAGTCTCGCCTTCAAGATGGGAACAATAATTTCAAAATAAATGACAATATCTACAAGAAGGGGGTTGGGGGGTGGGGCGTTAACGAAAAATCATGCGAAGGGTAAACGAAAACAATAACGAAACGATGTAACCTAGAAACGAAAATGGGAATGGGAATGAATTGAAGGGCATTCCAACTACAATACTTATTCAACGAATCTTTCGACTCACTTATGAACTAAATTACTTATCGGATAGATACGTATTACATGGTACAACTAATTAGGTTTACAACTACCTCAATTGACTTAACTAACACACGACTCAATGTGAGTCAGAGAAGGAACTTTTTGCAACTGCTTCGCTTCGATTGGGTGCAAAATTGGGGGGGTCTCATTATCGTCGTAACATTTCCATGGACAGCAAGTAGATCATGGCAAATGATGGCACAGTTTGGGGTAATGGGGATGCTAGATTCTAGAACTTTTCATCGTCAATGTTGGTGCGGCAATTGTTGAGTGCCGATTGCCTTTTGAGTGTGCCCGTCTCGCAGTCATTGTATGTTTTGGCCAGCACCTTGGGCGTGTTGTTGTGGTGCATATTGTGGTTACGATTCAGTGTGCCATTCCCCACATTGCTGGTCTTGACGGGCATGCGGAAGCTGGACTGCCGCTTGGGCCGCTGATCATAGTACTGCTGGAAGAACACATTCATTAGACTCTAGACATTCTCTTTAGCTGTTGGCAAACTCACATCCTTGGTGGGCAGACTGGAATACTGATTGGGGTAGGTATCAAAGCTGGCTGTCGTTGTCGTTGTCTTGTTCAGCGCCTCCTCGGCACTCAGCAGGAAGCGCTGCTTCGTGTATCTATAGGTGGCCAGACAGCAGGCCACAGTTACCAGCACACAGACCGCAATCACAATGGGCAGCGTGGCGGCGGATGCCGTTTGCACTTCTGCAGAAAGGATACAAATAAAAGAAACAGATAAGCAAATGGAACGATTGAGCGAGCATTCAATCTGCGCACTTACCTCCACACTCATTGGGCATGCAGGCGGTCTTCTCGAACTCTGCACCACGGCACTCCACGTTTGTGGGCTGCTCCACTAAACAGCGACGATGCCGCAGACGTATGCCATCACTGGAGCACGTCGACCACTCACTCCAGGCACTCCAGCCAAGAAAATCTACAAAATGCCAAACAAAGGTTAAACTTGAGCGGGGTTTTGGGGGCAGGAAGAAACACGCACCTTCGCATGGCACCATCTCGCACTTTTGCTCGTCCAGGGAGCGACCCTTGCAGAGCCGCTCATGTCCGCCCAGGCAGCGACGCGTTCGCCTGCGCACTCCCAGGCCGCAGGTGACCGAACAGGCTGACCACTCCGACCAGCAGCCCCACTCATGCTCCAGCTCGTTGTCGATACTGTTGCTGGGCTGCAGATCGTCCGCGGGGCACTCCTGGAGATTGCAGGCACGACTCTGGATGCCACGACCTCGCTGACGCTGCTGTGTGCCGCCGCCGCAGCTGACGCTGCACGGAGACCAGTCTGAGTCCGTCTCTGCTGTCTCGACATGATCGCCATGCCGCTGGCAGCTTCCATCTTGGTGACAACTGCGCGACTCCTCCTTGGCCAGGCTGATGCGCACGGAGCTGGCGTCCGGGCTGGTGGCACGGCAGGCATAGCGATACCTCCGCTCCGTGTGGGACGAATCACTGGCGTTGCCCGCACTCCCAGTAGGCAGCGTTAGCCAGGGTGTCCAGGCGCTCAGCTTACGCACCTCCGAGCAGCTCTGCATGTTGCAGTCCTCGTAGTCCAGGCGGCAGCCGGGGCAGTCGAGGCCGCCGTTCAGGGGCGTGGGATCGTTGCACTCGCGACGTCGCATGCGGAAGCCACCGCCGCACTGGGCACTGCACTCGCTCCACTCGCCCCAGGGTCCCCAGCCACCGTCCACGGATGGAGGCTTGGGCACCGGGCAGGGCGGCAGGTGACGGCAATACATCTCCGATTGCTCCGATCCCACACAGGTGCGTCCACCGTGGGCGGGTCTGGGATTGCCGCAGGTTCGGCGACGAATCTTCACCGCAATGCCGCAGGTCTGGGAGCACTGCGACCAGGCGGACCACTCCGTCCAGCCACCGTGTTGGGTGCAGTTCGTCACTTGCGTGCTGATGCCCTTACAGGTGGCGCCGCCATGCTGTGGCTGCGGATTGTTGCAGCTCCTGTCGCGGCACAAGCAGTTGCTGTCCGTCTCCTCGTGCTGCTGGCAAACGTTCCACGGATTCCATGCCGACCAGCCGCCGTCAATGGGCGCATTCAGCACTGGACATGTGAGCTGCGGTGCCTGCTGCCAGTGCTGGAAGCCAGAGGAGTCGCGGGGCTGGGGCATGCAGCGCTCAACCAGCTCATTCCAACCGCAATACGGATCCATGGCATTGAGGCAGCTGGACTGTGACACATGGCGACTGCAGCGCTGTGCGGGCACCCGGGTCAAGGCCAGATCTGTGCCCAGATAGAGCGAGTCGCTGACCTTCAAGTAGGCCATGTTGAGGAGCGTACTGCTGCCGGTGTCATCCGCTTGCCAGAGCTCCACCAGACAGGTCTGTGTCCCACCATTCACGTACTTAACCGACAGCTTCTTGATGTGATTCCCACTGCTGGCCACGAAGAGGACATGAATCTGTTCCGTTTTGGTGTTCAGTATGTCGAGGGCTATGCGCCCGAACTGCTCCAGCTTCGAGTGATATAGCGGCTGTGCGCCAATGGGCTGAACAGCCTGATCCATCAGTTGGTAGCGTGAACTCTCCAGCAAGTGGCCAAAGCCGGTGGTGCCACCCGCGCACTGGAACTGACTCCGTTGTGGCGTGTTGACCGTGGTCCAGGCAGCGTCCGCATGTTCCTGGTGCTTGAAGGCCCCATCGAAGGCTTCGTTGATTGAGCTGAGATTGAAGGCGCACACAGCGGATCCATAGATGCTTGAGCTGTGAATGGGGGGAATCGTTTGTTAGTTCTCTCTAGAGACTCTCCGAAAAGAATTGTGAGACTCACCCCGAGGTGCGGAAGGTGGCATAGAGCACATGCTCGGACTCTGCATAGGTCATGCCCTGCACCTCATCGAAGTAGTAAGGATATTCGCCGGGCAGCGAGCAATTGAGTCGCGCCTTCAGGAACGATGTCCAATTGTCACGCAGCAGCTGGCCGCCTCCAGCATCGTTCTTGCAGACCCTGGCAATGCGTGAATAAATTGCCTAGAGGAAGAACAGGAAACAGAGTTTAGATGGGGTTCATTATACTCGGACAGAGCTCCTCGTCTTACCTTGCCGCATGTCATGTGCTCGGCAGCCGATTCCCTCAGCAGAAAGTAGACAAAGTTTCCAGCCTCGAAGCTGCCCACAAACTGTGCTCCGTTGAGCCAATTATTGTTGTACTGCTTGGTGCGAAGGAAGCGCTGGAAATGAAAGAGGAAACAGTGAAAAAAGGATCATCTCTTGAGGGGAGGAAGCTTTACCTTGTTGGACTGCAATCCCGTGCGAAGGATGGCCACATCGCTGCCTGAAAAGTCCGTGGCTGTGGCCACAAACATATTCCCATTCGACTGCAGCAGGCTGGTGCTGTTCGCCTGCGGATGAAAGGGGCACTTGACCACGCCGCTGTCCACGCTGCTCACAGTGAGGTTCTCCATCTGCAAATGGGAAAGGGAAAGGGAGTGGAGCTCGTTTAGTGGCTGCTGCTGCTGGATGTTGGTGGACTGTCACTTGGTGTCGCCACAACGACCACTCTGCCACAACTCACCTGGCGCCACGAACAACTCGGCTGGAAGGCGTTCGTCCCACACGCGTACAGTTGGTTCTCACCGTAGCTGTGGAGCACGCGCACAAAGTTGCGACACCATCGCTCCGACTGGCCTTTTGCCTGGCACATGGCTATCTGCGACGGTGTCGCCTCCCAGCTGGCGCGCTCCAGTGGCTCCAGATCGAAAGACATGCGGTACAAGGTGTCTCTGCAAAGAGTCACGATAAAATGTTGTCTGAATAATCGAGAATAAGGGGTGGGGAGAATGTAATAGGCAGTAACAGTAACAGTTAGAGAGAGAGACAGCCCACAATTGTTAACAAATAAGACAGACTCCGGCATCGGCTGGCTTGGCTTAGGCTTGAAGGCATCAGCTGTCATAATTTTTGAACTGGTTGGCCGCCAGTGCATTGAACTGCAAGGCAAACTGGTAAGGAAAACTTGGCCTGGTCCGGCTACAGCCCAAGCACAGTGGTGCCAAAGTTGGCAAAGTCTTTGTGGGCGCATAGACGAGGTCTAAGCATCGATAAGATAGTTTCCATGACAGCTTTTCGATACATGCACTTGACATGTATGTTGTTTTCCTCGATTCTCTGGCATTCTCTTTGCTCTAACCACTGTGCTG